GCTTGGGTGGCTTCATCTTTGCTGTCCAGAGAAGCACTGATCAGGCCCAGAACCCAGCTTGTTCCTCTAAGTCTCATTTCCTGTCTTTATTCTTTAATTCGCCTTGGGCTGTCATGGCTCACAGGAGACCAGGACCCACTGCAGGGCGTCTGGTAACATCCCCTTTCCCTGTTCCCTACAGAGGGGAAAAGAGAAGAAAAGAAAAAGGAAAAGAATGAAGCAGGTGGGTCTAGAGACTTCTAAGGCAAGACAACTTGCATTGTGAATGTTCCAGATCTTAGGAGAAGAAAAAGGGAAATGGCATAGAAAAGCAGTTCAGGGCCAGGAAGTTAGCTTAGTGGTTCCAGCGCTGGCCTCACAAGCGCAAGGTCACGAGTTTGATCCCCAGTACCAAAAAAAAAAAAAAAGGAAAGAAAAGCAATTCAAAGAAATTGCTGAAAATATTCCAAATTTTGGAAAAGATATGAACATCCAAGTCCAAGGAACACAAAGGATCCCTATAAAACTCAACCTCCCCCCAACAAAAATCCTCTCTAAGATAGATTTTTATCAGACTGTCAAAAGTACAAGAAAAAGACAGAATTCTATAAATAGCAAGAGAAAAACATCAAGTCACATGTAAAAGAATCCGCATTAGATTAACAGCAAACCTCAAAAAATCTTAACAGGCCAGAAGAGAATAGGATGATTTATTCAAAATGCTGAAAGAATTACCAACCAAAAATACTATACCCAGCAAAACTATTCTTCAGAAATTAAAGAGAAATAAAAACTTTCTAAGACTAACAAAAACTGAGGGAATACATCACCATCAGAATAATTCCTGTAAGAAATGTTTAAGGTAGTCCTACGCTAGAAACAAAAATATGATAACTGTCATCATGAAAACATACAAAAGTACAAATCTCAACAGTAAAACAGCTGGGCATGGTGGTGCACACCTGTAATCCCAGCACTCGGGAGGTTGAGGCAGAAAGATTGCTGAGAGTTTGAGGATAGCCTGGGCTACTTAGTGAGTTCAAGTCCCGTCTGAACTACAAAGCAAGACCTTATCTGAAAAGTAAAACAAAAAGGAATGCTTTTCACTGTTGATGAGAGTGCAGACTGGTGCAACCGCTGTGGAAATCAGTGTGGGGATTTCTCAAAAAACTAAAACTAGAGGTTCCATTTGACCCAGCCATTCCTCTTCTTGGTTTCTTCCCACAAGAATTTAAAGTGATACCAACAGTGATATATGCACACCCATGTTTATAGCAGCAGAGTTTGTAATAGCTAAATCTCGAAAACAGCCCAAATGCCTATCACCAGATGAATGAATAAAGAAGGTGTGGTATTTTTTAATACAATGGAATACTAGTCTGCCATAAAGAAGGATAAACTTGAGTCATTTCTAGGTAAATGGATGCACTTTGAGACCATACTCTTAAGTGAAATAAATCAGACACATGTAAATCTCACATTGTTTCTCTGGTGTGAGAAACTGAAAGTGTAAATAAAGACCAAAGCGTGTAATAGATACTATGAACTAGGAAGAAAATATTCAAATGTAAAGAGGAACTTAGGGAGAGGAGAGGGGGAAAAGGAAGAAAAAGACAAGGAAAAAAGTGAAAATAGAAGAAAAAATTGAAGCAAAGCGTTTGTACATAGGGAGGGGAAGGGACCTGAGAGGGGGAATGGGAAAAAAAGAGATGTGATGTATCATGTACAGGTGCAAATTCCCTATGAGGAGTGTTATTATCATTATGTATGCCTGAAAAACACCAATAAATGTTTTGCTATAAAATACAAAACAAACAAAAAAGTAGAACAGATAATACAGAAGAGAATCAAACTTATCAATACAGAAAACCACCAAACCACAAACATTAACAAAAAGAGGGGAAGAAAGAATATACCAAGCAAACAGGAAAAAAAAGTGACAACGCATATTTGTTTACTTAACAATAACTTTTATTGTATTTTTCTTGTTGTTTTACATGGTTTTGGTACTGGGGATGAACTGAAGGCCTTCACAGAGCTACATTCCCAAACCTTTTTCATTTTTTAATTTGAGGCAGGGTCTTGCTAATTCACTAAGTTGCCCAGGATAGGCTTGAACTTGCACTCTTCCTGCCTCAGTCTGCCAGAGTGCTGAAATTACAGGTATGTGCTACCATACCTAACTAACAATAACCTTGAATGTAAATGGATTAAATTGCCCAGTTAAAAGATGTAAACTGGCTGAATGGGTCAAAAAAGTCATGAGACCCAACAATATGCAGCCTACAAGAAATTCACTTAATAAATAATTTAAAGAGTAAAATAAAGGATGGATAGTAGAGGCCAGGCCTATTGGTGTATACCTATAATCCCAGCACTTGGGAGGCTGAGCCAGGAGGATTACTGCAAGTTTGAGGCCACCCTAGGCTATATAGTGAGTTCAAGGCCAGCCTGAACTACATAGTATGACTCTCAAAAAAAAAAAAAAATAGATAATAGGAAACAAGGAGTCAAATCTTTTGCAAATGTGAAAGCTACCAAGAGATGGAGGGGGGAGGGCAGGGAGGAGGAGAAGTAAAAAGAATTAAGATGTACCAGCTCCCCACAATGAATGTAATCATTATGTACTGTCAATATATACTAATAAAAATAAAAATTATTTCTAAAAAGAAATTCACTTAGCCCAATGATTGCGAACCTTTCAGATCTTTCAATGATACAAACAGTCCACTGAAGCATGCATGCCATAGGTTCACAACCACTGACTTAGCCAGTAAAGACACACAAATATAATAACAAAGGATGGAAAGAGATATACTATGAAAATAGAAAACACAAGTGAGCAAAAGTAGCTGTATCTATATCTGCTAAAATAACCTTTAAGTCAAACACTATAAAAAGATTTAAAAGGTCGTTATATAATGATAAAGGGATGAATTCAGCAAGAGGAAATAACAATTGTAAATATATATGCACCCAAAATGGAGTACCTAATTATATAAAACAAACATGGCTAGATCTAAAAAGAGATAGCCCATTACAATCATAATTTTCATCAGTGGACAGATCATCCAGATGAAAAAAAAAAAACATCAACATGTTCGACCAGATGTGTTGAACCTGCAGCCTACAGGCTACATGTGGCCCTAGACAGCTAGTGAGTAATGTGCTCCTCAAGACTGTAGGAGTAAATTGTAATGTGATTTTTACAAGTATTTCCACAACTCCATTGTGTGGTGCTCAAGTGTAGACTGCATAGATGACAACAAAATGCTGTGCAGGAGGAGGCACAGTGCAGTGCCACCTCCCCCTCCTGCTCCTGACACACACAGTCAGCCGCATTTGACTGGCAAGCAATTATTGATACTTCGACCTACCTACACATAGTTATGCCCTAAAGGGGGCATTTATTCTTATTAAACACATATTTCTTATTTAATTATTAAAATTGGGCTTTTGTGTTCTATTTTAATGTTACAATAAAAATATAAAAGAGAAATTTTGTTGCTTATATACATTAACTATATTGTATGTATTTTATATGTGGCCCAAGACAATTCTTCACTCAGTAGCCCAGATCAGTCAAAAGGTGGGATATTTTAGATATTTATGCCATAGTAAGTGGACCTAATTTAAGAGATATTACAGAACATTCCATCCAACAACTACAAAATAGTCTTCTCATCAGCAGATGAAACCTTCTCCAGGATAGACCATGTTAGGCCACAAAATAGTCTCAGAATTCAAAATAAATTGAAGTCAGGCCAGGAATTTAGCTCAGTGGTTCTGCTGCCTGCCTTGCAAACACAAGGTCCCAAGTTTGATCCCTGGTATTAAATAAATAAATAAATAAATAATTTTTGTTTTTAAATAGAGGGCCAGGGATTTAGCTCAGCGGTTTCACTGCCTGCCTTGCAAGCACAAGGTCCTGAGTTCGATCCCCGGTACCAAAAAAAAACAAAATTTTTTTTTTAAATAAATTGAAGGGCCGGGGATTTAGCTCAGTGGTTCCGGTGCCTGCCTCGAAAGTGGAAGGACCTGAGTTCGATCCCCAGTACCAAAAAATTAAAAAATAAATTGAAGTCATAGTATGTGTCTTCTCTGACTACAATGAAATAAACCTACTCATCAACAAGAATTTTAGAAATCATAAAATTTATGGAAATTAAACTTTTCTCTATCCCCCTCTGCTTTTCCCCCTTTCCTCTTCCTCCTCTTCCTCTGCATTTTCCTCTTGTGATGACAGTGAAACTCAGTGTCTCAGGCATGCTAGGCAAGTGTTTTACCACTGAGCCACACCCCCAGACCCAAGAATTTATTTTAATCAAAAAGTTGCATTTTAAAACCCAACACAAAGTAATGTAGTATAAACATGACTCATGTATATTCAAGATAGTGCCATTTTAGGGGATGTGTCAAGGGTCTTGGGTATTTATGTACATGAGATCAAATAGTCTTGAGCAAGATGAAGGAAATCAAAAGCCAAGATAGTCAAATGGCCTATGGAAATTATAGTAGAAGTCTTATAGTGACACATGCCTATAATCCTAGATACTTGGGAGGCTGAGGCAAGAGGATTGCAAGTACCGTGGCAACCTGGGCAACTTAGCAAGACACTGTCTCAAAATAAAATAAGGGCTGAGGATGTAGCTCAATGCTAGAGAACTTGCTTAGAATGCATGAGGTCCTGAGTTGGATCCTCAGTACTGCAAAAATAATAATAATAGTATTTATTCTATAAATGTCACAGAAATAAACATTCAAATATTATTGACAGCACGTGGGAGACTGAGGCAGGAGGATCACCATGAGTTTGAGGCCAGCCTGGGCTACATAGTGAGTTCAAGGCCAGCGTGAACTGCATAGCGAGACCCTATGTCAAAAAAACAAAAACCAAATATTATTGAGTATGCAAATAAGATTTAAAATATATTTATTCAGCATATATAACTTGTAATTTAACATTTTTCTTTTTGTCTTATAGCTCCTTTTATCTATTTTTAAATTACTTTTTTTTAAAGCTACTTCCGAAGAAAATTCCAGGATATCAATGCAGAAGTATTGTGGAATCCAAATGCTATGGGTTATGGAAAAAGAAGATTTAAACCAGGTATGTGCATGACTCCAAGCTCAAGCACAGCTGCCTTTTCTAACGCTGCCCGAATTGCAATTACAAGTGAAAAGGATTTATTTAAATTTCTTGAAGAGCTCAAAAGTAAGAGCCATTTGTTTGCTTTCCACTCCTTAAAAGGATATTTTAATTTTTTATTAGTGTATGCTTGCAATACATCATAGCTACATTTGTTTTGGAGGATTGGTAAATATGGATATGGATATAGTATTTTTTTTGCTTAAATTCTTTTATCGGTACATTTTAAGTGTACAATTCGTTTACATCTATAATTGGGTGCTCGTACCTGTACATGATGTATCTTGGTTCTTATTTTTTTCCCCATTACCTGTGTGTGCCCTTCACCCCCTCCACCCTTCCCTATTTACATAGACTTTGTTTCCATTTTTTTCTTTTCTCAGAATTTTTCCTTTCTATAGCATATCTTGATAACCTTTTTTCCCTTTACTTGCCCCTTCTTCCTCTCTCAAATCTATTTCCCATCTCCAACAAGTCTACCTTTTTGTTTCCTGTCATCTCTCCTCTGTTGAACTCTTTCATTCATTTCTTGCTGTCTTAGGCTTCTTGTACAAGAAGCCATGTAATATTTAATTTTCTGTATTTGACCTCACTTAACACAATAGTTTCAAGTTCCACTCGTTTTCCTGCAAATCCCATGACTTCATTCTTTTTTTAAAAAATTAATTTTATTGGTACATTTTAGGTATACAATATAATGGCATTCATCATTGGAAATTTGCACCTTTATATAATTTCTCTTGGTTCTTATTTTTCCCCATTCCCCTGCCCTCCCTTCAACCCCTCCATCCCTCCCTATTTACAAAGACTTTGTTTCCAT